AAAGCGTAGATCTTTTCTGTTACTTCTGAGAACGAATTTTGATAAAGACAATAACACGTGTGTAAATTGGAAGTCGACATTATTTGATAAATAATATCCTAAACAATCGCAGCATGTTTCTCTGAGTTTTAAACAATCATTCTAATAGTCAAAACGTCACAATGCGTTCATCATTTAGAAATGAATGAAACATCATGAAAGGAATTTACCCATTTGAGTCACGTACCATTTCGTGCTTTTAATACTCCCATGGGGTGGCGCCCCTACTCTTTTTTTTCTAACATTACTAATAATTAATTTTGTTTTGCTATTTATTCTTCGTAATATTCAATTTCTTTTAATAAATTTATATCGTGAAATTTATAAATTAAATTTAATTGTTTTAAATGCAATATAATTTAAGTGGCGATTATATATTACCTGGCTTACGGTATCTTCTACCATATCCCTAAGTTATTTTTTTATTTGTCTGAAAAACCATTAACATCAACAATAATTTTTATTGAGTAATGATGTCACTAACACCTCATTATTCATAAACGTCACAAATAATTCAATTTTTATATAATATTCCAGAGGAATGTGAACACGTTGTAGGGACTGCAAGAATTTCCCATCACAAAGAATGGATTCTATTTAAAGCAGATTAATGCGTACTACAAGAGATTGGTTTTTCTTGAAGGAAAGGTAAACAAGTCGTATGTTTACCTTCTCTCCTCCAAGAAAAGAAAATCGGTTTATCAAACCTATCAATCATTCACACCTTTTAATTTTAATTTTTGAATTGCTTGTATATTTTTTGCAATGGTTTTTCAGTATTGTTTTGCTTTTGTGTCTCTTATACATAATTAACCTTCTTTATTCCTAATGATGATTCAGTAACTTTGAAATTAAAAATAAGAAAAATTATGCTATTTTCAATTTGAGAAGTTTTCCTGAATGAGGTTGGTACAAATTGCTCTGGGGTGACGGTATGTCCGTTGACAGTTTTTCTTACAAACAAATTAATTCCCATTTCTTCTCCTAAAGCAAAGAAATCATCCATTAAAATGAAATACATCAGTCATATTTAAAATTGTCAGTTGATAGTAAAATACATTTTGAATGAAAAGTATCTTCTTCGCTTTTACTTAAGAATGCATTAATTGCTTTCACTTTGTACATTCAGTTTAGGAGGTTTATCAGACGAAGATTTTTTACTGTTAAAAGAGCACTCAACTCGTAAGGGACACTTGTTAGTTTATAGACACGTGTTATTTTATTTCATATTTTTGCTTTATACGACAAAGCACATATCTTTGTGACATCGGGTCCGAATGTGTAAATTCTCGTTCGCCGTCACGGATTTTCTTAACGGGTATGAAAGAGAACGGGAACAGTACAGTACACTTCATTGAGCGGTCAATGACATCATTTAGCAGATATATATTTTGCAGCCGTGCCTTCTCCAAATCAAGTTAACTTTACTGTATATTTTACCCCGATGTTTCATCCACGTGTTTAATCATCCGATGGAGCTGTATGTTTCGAAGTGAATCCTGATTCTTGCGATTCACCAACTCTCCAAAGCACACCTCCGCGCGAGATCGGGTGCGAGTGAGTGAATTGCCAATCGCAGCCACGGCCTGAGGTGAGGCAATGCGCCCGTCGCGTAATAAGTGTGGCAACGCTGCGCGTGCTGAATCGGCCCCCGGCGCTCCCCTCGGGCGGCGTGTTCCTCAATTAGAGGCCGAAAGAGGGAGCGAAATTGCGACGCCCATTCCGCAGCCCCTCCTCCCGCCCACAATCGCTCACGCTCACCCACGCTCAGCGCACGCCCACCACGCACGCTTAGGCCACGACCCTCTGCCGACTCATTGATGGATTGACCTGGGGATTCCGGGCGCTGTCGTCTGCTACGGGCAATAGTCGCCGTTCGTGGTAGTGCAATGTTTTTTTTATCGCGGGAGGCTGGCGGTGTACTTTCCCCCGCTGGTTGGTGAGATCCAGCGCCGACCTACGTCGGCCTGCGGTGATTTTCTCCCACCAGGTGCCTAACACCTGGGTCACCACGTGCCTTACCAAGTGCTTCATACCAAAGCGGGGCATCGCCGCAGCCGAGTCATGCTTTAACCTCCTGGTAGTCTCCCGACACGTGATAGTGTAGCTTATGTGAGTGTGTTTATAAGTAAAGGGTGAGAAAATAACAAGGAAAAGGAAGGAAAGTTGGCGCGCAGACCGTGGCCCGCTTGGTAGTGTACTGAGTTGGCATTCGCCTGGTGTTATTCAGAGAAATCACGGAGAACTACCGATTAGAGCAGTCGGCTTCTAGAATTCTCCCCCAGACAGAGACTCCAGATTCCACCTAGCTCTATAGGTAGTGCGAAAATCGTTGCACCGTCGGGCCTCGAATCCTAGACCTCCTGGTCAGAGGTCTTGCGGTGACTTCAATTAATACTGTGAACCAACCTCTACCGTTCGCCTATCCTCTCCACCCCCAACCGACCACCATCCCAACGCCAACCTGAAAAGCAATACTCTCTCAACAACCCACCTGTAAATTGTTTTTTTTTTTTTTAGTTCGGGTCTCACCAAGTACTATGATTAGTTGTCCAGTGAGTGACCTGACATTGATTAGAGAAACCACGAAAAACTATTATTCAGGATAGCCGACTGTTAGTATTCTCCTCCGGACTTCGGCTGAATTGGACGGCACTGCCACAGCTGGAACTTAGGTATGAGGATATGTCAAGGAAGATGAAGGAAAAATCGCGCGCGGGCCATGCCCCGATTGTTAGGGTACTGCCCCGGCATACACCTGGTATTGATCGTATAAACTACGGAAAACTACCGATCAGAGCAGCCGGGCGCTAAAATTATTTTCCAGACAACCACTGAATTCGACCAAGCTACCTAGCTAGTGACGAAATTCTGCCACCGTCGGGACGTCGAACCCAGAACTTTCCAGCCAGAGGCACTGCAGTGACATCAGTTCATGCCCTGGGCTATCTTGGCCGGTCATTAGCCATCAGCTCTGTCCCAATTCCTTTCAATCTGCTCTGTGCCATCAGCTCTGATCTTTGTGCCCATAGATTCTTTTTGCTGTCTCTTGATGCAGCTCACTCCGTGGCGCAGAAAAACTTCTGTTTCCACTGCGTGAACGAGCGCCGTCCGGACGACAGCTCGCACAAACGAATGCGGTTCACGAGGGTACTACATTAGCATTTGGCTACTAAAGAAACCTCCCCGCGTGGTTTCAATTACAAATTGCAGCGCGGGGGGTTCTCTAGCGGGCTGTAAATTGGGCCGTTTGCCCCCTCCATGTTTAATAAATCCCCGCCCCCTGGCGCACCTCTGATTCGGAGCCCGGCCTGCGGCACCGGCGCGGGCGGGAGGGGGTGACGTGCGCCGAATTAGCACATCAAAGAGCGCGGAGCCTCGCAGGCGTCGGGGAGGGGGTGGGGCGCCGGTCCGGGCGCCGTGGGGGCAAGAGCTCGTTTAAGTGCGGGGGAGAAAACCTCTGCAGCCCTCCAATTCGGATGCGACCCCGCACGGCGTAGAGCAGGGATGTCCAACCTGTGGCCGCGACACACCGTATGCGGCCCGTGGTGACCCGCGAAAACTTTTAAACAAAACAGAACGTTTTTTGCAACCATGTCGGAACATTGTGCGCCCAGCGCACGTGCGTTGCCGGGATCAATACCCTCTTTATGTAAAAATAGGTGAAGGTTAGATTTAACGACTTTTTCTAGTAAATTCAGAAATTCAATATCACCCCACAGTGTTTCACTGCGATGTGCATGGTGTGGCATGATAACAGGCATTGGTCCATCCCGCCGCCTGCCGTTTCAGAGCAACCGGGCAAAAACTGCCAAGGTTACAGGATGTGGTTCGTCTTAGTAATGAAAATATAGCCCGCAACCATTACAAAGGTATTAGTTGTGGCTCTTGAGCCCTTGCTAGTTGGGCATCCCTGGCTTGGCAGAATGGTCGGGGGGAGGGAACGTCGTTAGCGGGTCACGCGTTCACGCGCCGAGTGCGATCGACTTCACGAAGCCATCTAAATGCAGTCCTTGAGGAAAACGACTTCTTCTTGCCGAGGGAGAGTTGAAAGCGAAAGGTGCTACGGGATGGCATGAGATGTTCTCTCTGCTTCCTTTCCTGATTGAGGTTTTCTGAGAGTTGGCGTTTGCGGTGAGATCGTGCACGAGGGTATCCTTTTTAACACCATAGAGAGACCTTCTGCTCAAGTGTGATGTTTTAAGGCTTAAACAATTGTGTTAGAATCGTAAAAATGTTCTCCATTTACATATCTTTTTGTTCAGAAATTCCGTGACTCTTCTGAGTAAATGTCTACACGCTTCTGGGTATACAATTGTTTTAAAAAATGCTTTCAGTGTCTCTTCGTGTCAATCCTCTTAATTCTGTTTCGAATTAATAATGATGAAATACAATTTTAACAGTCAGAATTTGTAGCCAGTATTAGAGATAGAGATAATACTCATATTTGATAGCGAACAATTAGTTGACCCACAGCAATAGTGGAAGTGAGAAGTGTTGAAAAGGAAGATTTTTGATTCTCCAGCGTAAAGAAGTCATACGGAGGAAATGGAACATACCGACAATGCAATATAATTTCCAAATATAGTTTTGAGAAAATATGTAGAACGAAAGTTACAGAATAACACAATTCCCATCTACTTGATTTCTTTCGTTGATTTTTTGACTGAGGTTTGTTAATAAGTTGCAACTCTTAACACCGCGACTTATCCCAACTAAGAGCGTGATACTTACGTGGAAAATAAATTCTTACAAACCGTTTTTTATTTTTCGTCTGTAGAAAAAATCAAATACGGATACGGATTTGTTTAGTAAAATTGCATTATGAAATATTATTATTTCCTTAATTTTGAATTACCTTTAAGTGTCTTCAAAGAGAACCTATTGATTTCCAAAGTACTCTCACATTCTCAATAGATGTCCTTAAACAAACTAGAAGACCACAATGGATATTAAGATCAATGGATGTTAAGACCATATTGGATATTATGTAAGTCTCTATGATGTTTCAAACTATAAGAAAAGTTTTCGAGAATACTACCATAAAAATAAAAAACGAAATATTCGGTAAGTGTTTTCTGCTAATTTAACATTTTATGCTAGTTACAAAGAAGTTAACAATAAGTAGCCTTTCATAAATACCAACCTTTGCATCAGTAACGACTCCAGGACTCACCTGTTGGTTGACCCCGCTCTCACCCCAGCCACTAAAACTGGTGGCGGAATTTGTGCGGAGCAAGAAGCCGTTACCGCAGCCCTGTATTATGTAGAAGTGCATGGCAAATTCCGGCTCGACGGGATCGGGGGTGCTCTGCAAGGGAGAGGACGAGAAAGGAAGCCAACAGGTGCCTCTCCGCCGCCGCTTGCCCGGCCTCGCCTCGGCCCACCCCGCCCCGTCACGCCTCGTCACGCCCCGTCCCTTTCCTTCCCACGCCCACCTCCTCCGCTCCTGCTCCCGCCCCCTGTCGGGGGTTCACTAACTCCGCCTCCCGGTCCCCTGCCTTCCTGCCGCCGTCACCTTGTTCCCACCATCCTGTTCCCGTCACCCTGACCCTGTCATCCTTTTCCCGAATCCTGTTCCTGACCCCGCTACCCTGACCCTGCCATCCTTTTCCCGTATCCTGTCCCTGACCCCGGCCTCCCTGACCCCGCCTCCCTGACCCCGCCTCCCTGACCCGCCTCCCGCTGACCCCGCCTCCCTGACCCCCCTCCCTGACCCGCCTCCCTGACCCCGCTCCATGGACCCCGCCTCCATGACCCCGCCTCCATGACCCCGCCTCCATGACCCGCCTCCATGACCCCGCCTCCCTGACCCCCGCCTCCATGACCGCCGCCTCCATGACCCGCCTCCATGACCTCGCCACCCGGGCTTTCCACCCTTTCCCGACACATGATCCTAGCAAAAGACCTCCTCACCCTGCCCTCCAGCCTGCCCCGCCACCCTGAAATCGCCAACCCTGGCCCCCGCACTTCTGCGCCCGCTACCCTGGCCCCGCCACCATGGCCGCCACCCTGGGCCCCGCCACCCTGGCCCCGGCCACGCCTGGCCGCACTTATACTAATATCCGTATTCCAAACCCCTCCACCCTACACCGATATCACTTCTCCTTATACCTGAACGCCGTCCATCGCATTCTGTTCCCACCATCCCGGTCCCCGCATTTTGTCCCTGCGCCATCCCTCGTCCCTCCTCGACCGCACCCCGACCCCATTTCGGCACACACGCTATCCCAGCGTGTTCCACAGATCTCTACCACACCCCGCCGCCATCCACGCCGCAGTTCTTGTTTTCTGGGCTTTTCCCTGGCTCGGGCTTGCGCTCGCTTTACCCAATCACCCAGGCTCAGCGTTTAAGGGCGCCCGTGGTCAGACAGCGCTCCCTCTCAGCCATTAAGCTGAAATAAAACTGCAGCTAGCTAAGTAGCCGAGGTCGCTAAGGTGTCAGAGACTTAAATAACGTACTTTCAGGATCAAGTCGCCTCTTAGTCCATTACTGTATCTGTTTACATTATTATTTTTGCAAACTTTACGGGACGAAAGTTGACGATTAGAAGCAGCTAACAGTTAAGTCCTTCAGGCCACATTCCGTAAATTCGTTTCCACCAAATACCGTAACCGAACACATCTGAAGTGGCAATTGCTGGAAATTGATGTGGCATATTTCGCATGAATGATTTATTGATTAGTGATTCCCACGGTATCAAATGCTAAGGTTAATTAGTCTCTAAGTGTAGGGCATTTTTCATCGCGGGGGGGAGGGGAATCTTTCCCGCTGGTGGGTGAGATTGCGGGTTCACTTCGGATTGCGAAAATTTTCACGCAACCAGGATTATCTTCCCACCAGCGAGGAACCGGCCCAGCCGGAACAAGCTCTAGCTCTGGACCAGTCTCCTAAAATGTGGTAGCGTAGTGGCATGTGTGTGTGTGTAAGTAAGGAGTGACGATAGAACAACGGAAGAGGAAGGAAAGATCGCGGTGCGGTGTTCTGTTTTGTGAGCGTATTGACCGGCAATTCGCCTAGTGTTGATCAGAGAAAACACTGAAAACTACAAACTAGAGCGGCCTGCCGCTAGAAGTCTCTCCAGACAGCGGCCGACTTCGACCTCTCTGACTCGGCTAGGTCCTAATCCGATCGCTCCTTACTCCTTACCTCCGAATCCCACCGCAACCGTTCAGGACTCGCACCTTACTACCTCCCTTTCAGACACAAGGAAGTGACAGCAGTAGATGCCCTGAACCCACTTTTGCCGGTATTCTCATTTTCAATATTCAGACAAAATTTGAAAAGGTTCTCCCGTAAGGGAGGATCCCCTGCCTTGTGCCCTCGCATTCTCTCCGCGTACGGCTGCGCGCTGACTCCTCCGCCAGAGGCACGTAAATAAATAAGAGCGGCCTGGGACGTGCCGGCGCGGAGCGGCGGCCGATTGGCCCGCGAGCGGCTCGGCACAATGGGCCCTGCACAATGCGCCCTTCCGCGGTGCCGCCCCCCCCCCCACTCCGCCAAACCTCGACGGCAGGCGGAGCTTCGCGCGGATGCCGCCACACGCGGCGCCTCCTCTCCACCCCACCCTCCTCTGGCTGGCCGCTTAGCGCCTCGAGCACACGGCCAACTGCGCTCCCGCACGCCACTGCTCCGACCCAACTGCACACACACCATGCTGCACACTTCGCTACCCACCCCATACCCTGCAGTCTCTACCAGCGATTGATGGCTCAGGGCACCATTGCCCTGGGCCTGATATTACTGCAACGCCCCCCCTACCGCCCTGATGTGACTGCATGCTCTGTCAGGGATGTCCCGGGTGGCTAGGGTTCGTACCCCAACGTGGCAGGGATTTTCGGCACTATCTAGAGAGCTAAGGTCGGGTTTAGCCGCTGTCTGGAGGAGAATTCTAGCGGCCGGCTGCTTTGGTAGGTAGTTTTCCCATGGTTACTCCGATCACACCAGACGAATGTTGGAGGCAGTACCCTAACAAACGGGCACTGTCCTACGGTGTGTTCTTTTCTTTCTCTTCCTTGTCCTATCCTCACCCCTTACTTACACACACACAATACTCTCTCTCTCTCTCTCTCTCTCTCTCTCTTCTCTCTCTCTCTCTCTCTCTACTCACTCACTCACTCACGCACTCACACACCACACACACATCTTTTACTCTACCACCACACTCAGGGTGGTCCGTCGAAAAATCTCCCACAAGCCGATGTAGGTCGGCGCCAGATCTCGCCATCTAGCTGAGGAAGATCACGCTACCTCCCGCGATACACAGCATCCGCTACATACGTGGCAAAATGCGCCTAGCAGTTGACGGCGCCTGGAATCAATAATATATGAATGAAATACTGCCACTCACCATTCACCGCTTACTTTCCATTCCAGGGAGAATGCCGGAGCAATATTCTAACAATCTGGTTTCGGGCAGCGCGTTCTCTCTTCTTTCTCATGGTTCCCCCTTGGACACCCACCCACACATATACATATACACACCTTATACTTACATATCTTAAATATATACACTTACAACTTAGGGCGAGCGACCAGTCAAAAGCTTAGAGCTTGTTATGGCTGGGGGAAGATACCTGGAGGGGAACAACCTATATTCGGACGCATTGGTTTGGCGCCGTACCTCACTGCCCAGCGGGCCGAAAACAGTAGCAACTTTCAAGCATAGCATCATTCATTTAACTAACGAGACTAATCGCCATTGGTTGAACTGCCTGGAGACATCAATAAATCAATCAACCGTTTTGTCCCTCCCGCGCCGGCACACTCACCCACCCTCCCTCCTGTGGCAGTCACCCTCCTCCCGCCCTACTAGGACTGCTCGCTCTGCCCTCCCCGCAGTGGCGGTCGGTGGGTGGCAAATTACGAGGGGCGGCCTATATGTCCGAACTATCACACATTTTACCTCTTTTCAAAATAATTTTTTTTGTAAGAGATACAAAATGTAGAGTAACAACACAATCTGCAGTCTTTGGAATTTTAATCCTTGTCTTAAGGCGGCTCTACACATACGGCATTCAGCCGAATTCCGAGCAAACCGCTAATCGAATCCCGAGGAAAGTCTGGACAGGTTGCTCGCTATTCGCCGAGCGCCGAACATTCGGTATCGCGTGTCAGTCTTTAGGACACTTGAAAGGGAGCGAACATTCGCCGAACTCTCAAGCAGTTTCGGGCGATGGAAATGCCTTTAGACAACTTTTTCGTTGATAACGGAGATATTATTACTTTTGATCATGCGAAATTAATTGATTTTTAAAACTATTGCCAGCAAACAAAACATTAATTTATGGAATCAAAGAAAGGGTCTATATTTTTTAGCTTACTTAATAGACAAAACTCTAACGACCGCGCACTACCCCATCCAAATCCCAGTACCCCCTAATCTCCTCAAGCTTCCATTGCTTGCATGCACCAGCTGCGGACGGACTCGCGATAGTCACACCATGTGATCAATTCTAAAAACATTTATATTTCCTTATTTCAGGCACATACAACTAAATTCGTCCTTCAATTGTGAGAGCTACAAAATTAAGGCAGGTAGATTTATTGCAAGTAGAATACTTTCGGCAACTTTTACGATTTTTATTTTCTGTGGGGGTGACGCCCAGAGCCCTTAAGGATTAGCGCTAGTGCCTTCCCGTTATGCCCAATGACACAATCTGCCCCACCGCTGCACCTACCTGTATAGAAGTATCCCACTGCCGCGACAGCTGTTCAGCCACGTCTCTTCGTAATTGTGTTTATGTTTGTACCAGAGCTACCGTTAAGACATCATGGCTTCTCACGGTTCATAACCGTATAATTATTTTTTTGAAATGATAAAACTCAAGCACGGAATGCACGGGAGCGTCTCTATCATAGCTCGACGCCTTACGCACAGGAGTAGGAACATCCTACACCAGTACGCCTCTGAATTCAAACTCGATTTTTCAAATAAACATAATACTTTTTCAGACGAAAAGTAATTTCAACGTAATAATTATAAACAGTGTATAGAAAGGCACAGTAGCACTGCACATCCTAATTACTATTATTTCTCGTGCGCGTACTGTTTATTCGTGGAGACGGGCAATCAAACAAAAGGAAACGTCGAAGCCATTTACAAGTTAGCCAACTGCAAACGAACGATAAAGGAAGGAGAGTCAAACGGGCTGAACTACACAAGAACCTTCAGTTATGTTGCCACTAGCTGTCAAAACGGTCCAATTCTTATAAAATTGCTCTATACCTTCTTCGACCGGCCTGGCATCCGCCCGCCAGTAACAAGCATCCGCCTCTATGCACTGCGTGTTGCATCATTTTCCGTACAAACCCTTATGTGTTAATCCAAATTGGGGGGAACATTTTGATTTGGGAAATCTTTTATTATTGATCGATTGTTCAAAATTGTTCTTGCAACATTTGGAATCTCTCCAGCTAGTCAATTTTTTAGGAACATGAACATGCGCGAGCACACACGCCGCATGTGTATCTCATTAAGGATGGATTAGTATTACTCGGTGCAACTTTTCTTGAACCGATGACCTTGATCCCCCTTCCTTGTGCAATAAACAGTTGAAGGCAAAAGCTTCGCAGGGGAACTGATGACAACTTCCAAGCATTAAAACTTCATGGCGTGAAACAGAAGCTACTTCAAAGCCAGTTGCTTTAATAGTGCAGAACCCCTGTTTAAGATTTATTGTCAATATCGAAATAAATGGCTGAGTCAGGTCCAGGTCCTTCTAGGGAGTCACCTAAAACTCTCCCGAAAACGTTAAGCACAATATGCAGTTTTTGCCTTTTTCATTTCACAGACGTTGGCATTAGTTAAAATACTCTAGCGGCAAACTTTGTAACTAATACCCCCACTCCACCCGAATCGTCAATCCATCGTTCAAGAAAAGTTGCCCGAGTAACTACTCTGTTTGCTCATTTTGACCAATTCTCTCCAAGTACCCAGATTATTTTGTTGCGCAATGCACTGCTGGGAGCTGCGTAATATTTTTTTTCCGCTGCCTTGTATAAAGTGATTATTCAAACAGGGGCTTTAATTCATTGCTTGGCTACTGCTGACAAGATGACAATGATGTTATGCCCATGCGCTCAAATCGACAATACGTTCGTTTGTAGTTTGTTGCTCTCATTTGTAAATGGTTTTCGTCCGGCATGACATTCCATTTGGTTTCCAAACCTGCAAACTGCTCCTTTCTTAGGGTTACATCTCTACATCATGTAGAGAACTTCTCTATATAATGTGTGTTTTGGCCGGCATCCTGACTTGGGGTTTTCCTGGTTTTACCTGTTTTTTGCAATTTGTTTTCACAATTGAGGCATTCGGGTGCAGGAGACGATTTCGAACAAAATTAAGATTATTGACTTTTTACCTTTTCTTATGTTTGAGATTCAAAACCTCTCTTTTTATCATATAAGCCTCCAGGTTCAGAAAAATTATATTGAAAATACATTCATACTTATGTGCAACCCCACGCCGTGTTGTTAATATGAACATTTCCACTTTTGTGTGTAACGTGAAATATGCGTTTATCTAATTATGTGCACTCGGAACGCCTCAATTGTAATTATTCAAATGTAAAGATATGTGCAGGCGGAAGAGCAAGGTCTAATGCCTGAGCCTCGCCAAAAATAAAGACATTATTATTATTATCTATTATTATTATTATATTAATTATTATTATTATTATTATTATTATTATTATTATTAATTATTATTATTATTATTATTATTATTTATTATTATCATTATTATTTTTAGTTATATATCATCATTATTATCTATTATTTATTATTATTATTTTTATTATCATATTATCCAATTATTTTATCCATTATTATCGATCATTATTATTTAGAGCGGTTATCTATTGCGCTTTTTATGACGAGTGACTACTAGATTTTATCTGATCTCATAGCTTTAGTAACTTGTTCACATTATGTATGTCTGTATAAACCTGCTTTCATATCACATCATATTAATATCTTATAAGAATAGATAAGGAACGGATTAGTTTACTCAAAACAAATACATTTGTATCTCATGTGCAATGAATATCTAGTTGCGTTACGAGATTAACATCTCAACTCTCCATCTATGTAATGGTTTAATGTTAGAAGATGTGAACGATATCTGTTACATCTGGCAGGTACACTATATGTTATTGTGCTGTTATATTATATTAATTATATTATTATTATTATTACTACAGCAGGATCCTCCCTTGACCCTAATCGCCTTGTGTTGCAGATGTCCAACGCGAGTGGATCCGGGGAGCGATCAACCTCGGCCGACGGTCCGGCGACGAACGGGGCCGAGCGGCGCGCGGCGGCGGGCGGCGGCGGCTGGCGCGCGCGGCCCCGGAGGCGGCGGCTTGCGGGGGAGTCGCGCGGCGGCCGACCGCGAGCAAGGCGGAGACGCTGATTGTCGGCCTCGCGGGGCAGCACCTCCTCTGCGAGCAACCTCAACAACACGCCGCCGCAACACAACAGTTCGGGGCCCCGCGGGGGCGGCGCGGCGGCGGCGGCGGCGGAGCCGGCGCCGGCGCTGGGCGCCGGCCCGGCGGGCGCGCGGGAGCGGCGGCGGGTCCGCCCGTGGGCGAGCCGGCGCGGGCGCGGAGCGTGGAAAGCAGCACGGGTGCGCGGCGGCCGCGGCAGTCCGCCCGCCGGGGGCAGAGGCCTAGCAAGCCCTGCTGCTTCTGCTGGTGTTGTTGCTGTTCCTGCTCGTGGTGAGTGAACCTATGGTTGATGGGTTGGGCCGGGTCAGAGGTCAGCATGATCGAAGTGGTTGGTGTGAATGTATTCGTACTTGCTGGGCTTGGACGCAAGGGTGTGTAAAAAATCAAAAATAAAACTTTCGGAATGGATATCTTCCGTATGTTCGCCTATAAATACAGAGTGAGAGGCCTTTCCTCAATCACATGGTATCCATGACGGTAAAAGGTAGAGAGAACAAAATTCACGGTTAAGCGGGAGATTGTTTTATTGCCAGTACCATTATGAAAACAAAAAAATTAACGTTACCTTTAAATTTTTCTTTTCGGGATCTTAAATAATCATGTTTTCAAACCTGGCAAAATAAATCTACATTTTTAAAACATATAATCGTTTTGATGTCTTTGAAGAGAAGATGGCTTTTCTTTCCCTTCCTTATTTCAACTTGAAGCACATTTATAAATATTGCACAATCAGTGTTAAAACGTTTCATTTCTGAGTTGCAGTAAACAGCTATTTTATGCTGGATTTGTTCGATTGGGGTACCGAGGTCCAAGGGGAAGAATTACTCTGGAGTAGTAAGGCAAAAGGCTTCTCAGTCATATTTTACATGCATTAGATACATCGCTATAAATCTAAGTGTTATTTACAAAATAAATTACAATTATTAACAAAACAGTGCATTATTACAAAAGAAACGTGCAATGTAATTACGGAAAGCCACCTTTCTTCTGATAAATACGATTTAGACTATAGTAATGAGTGTGCACTGAATGTTCTGCAGTGTGTTGTGAAATTGATACTCTAAATTGTGTTTTTACGATTGAATTTCTTTTTTTTAATTATTATTTGATCAATTGCTGCCCTATCCAGTGTAAAATAGTTTTTAAGTTACTGTGTATATGACGGATCATGGCATTACTTTTTTTTTAAATCGAGAGTGAAATAATGTAATCTTGATTAAATTAATTCTGGCTACAGTTTTTCTTAAAAACGTGTCTTATAAGTGAATTAATTGTTTTCATTGTATTATTTTATTTAGTAATTATTTCTGTGGTAATTTATTTACTCGATGTAGATCTCTTGTTTCTATCTCTGTAGCTACCAATTCCACTTCTTCATCTCTCGTTGTGATTGTTACTGTTGGTGTTTTCTTATAAACATTTTTGATCCTCGCAATTCTTTTAATTCTTCAATTTACTCTTATGGTTCTTGATATTTTTGTATCTTCACGCACTGAGATCCCTTTATTCTGTTTGTATGCTTTCTATATACAACATGAACCTGTCTTATTCCGGCGTTTTTAACCTTACAGACTTGGCACAAACTGAGAAAATTTTATTCACTAGGAAGTGCTTGATAAGTGTCTCTGTCTCTCTTTCACACTTTCTACAAGTTACCTGGTGTTGGTATTGTTTTCATTCCTGCTTCGGCATCTTTTTCTTCAGTTTTCTTGCTTTTCTTAAATATTGTGCACTATTAACACCTGTCCACATCGATTTGTGATTACCTCCCATGCAGTATTTGTGGTTTAACGTGAAAAGATAACTCGGCCCATGTGTTTCGCATTCCGCTTCGTTGCAAGGCAATACCTCGTAGTAATTCCATGTCCTGAGTCATACATTGTGAATTCAAGTCACAATGATAAGTTGGTGCGAAGAGTCCTATTTTTCTCTATGAAACAAGTTATATATAGATAATACTTTAATTTACCTAATCACTGCCAGTTATTTTGTCATGAATTTTATTATCGTATTTATTAATATCAAAATTATATTTACAATTTAATCCTAGTTGTTCATATTCATAATTATCCGATTATAAATTCATGTTATTTATCTTTTCACGTTCCTGATTCCCTATAACGCAACAAAAATTACAGATGTTCACTAACACCGTATGTTTCGCTTGTGACTTTTATGTTTTTCCTTAACGAAATGTTCCTATATTTCCGTCTACGTGTGTATTTAACTCTCAGATAAATGTCAAATTTTTCCAAAATAATTTCGCTAGCTTCTCCTTTTTACCTTAAAAATTCAGTGACTTGCGAGGAATATTAAAATCAAAATAGTTCAAATGAACCTCAGGTTTAAAATATTGTCTTTCGTTAGTATAATTACTTCAAATGTATTTGTAATCAGAGCATCGAACAACTAAAAAACAATTATAACAAGAAAGACACTACAGGGTTGTTTTCATATAGTATTAGTCGACTTTCATAGAATAATGTGCTAGTTACATACCTCACAAACAGAAGCAAAATTTTCCTATTTTGTGGGTTTTCAAACACTACTTGAATGCAGAATTCCGGCATCATGTAAAGTATGTTATTACTTCTACGCGCTTAATTTTAGTTTAAATAATCTCTTGCACAACAATGGCCTATTAAATAATTTAATCACGCATTTTCAAAAATAATTCGCTTGGTCATCAGATTTAATTCGATGCTCTGGCGTATACAGTGGACTCTGGTTAATTCAACATTGGAAAATTCGAAAGTGAAAATAGTTCCATTAGAAATTATCTAAACAAACCTTAAAACGTATTTATTTCGATTTTTCAAATGATCAATTCAGATCGTTTCGATCGATTCAATCCGAAAGGCAATTTTATAATTTCAAATAAAATAAACCCTAAAAACTATATATTGAGTGAACGCGTCCTACAATATTTAACATGCGGGTTACAATACGCGATTGTTGATGGTGAAATAAAAGTGTAAATGTAAATAAGAAGTGTTTTGGTTGGAGTGATCTCAGAACGCCTGAAAATCTCGCGGTCGTGATTTGTTTGCGTTGTTGGTTTGAATTTTATCTTTGAAGAAAACTGAATCTCAATCAAATGAGGATAAAAGGAATAATGTAACTATATCACTTATAAATGATGGAATGATTAATTTATTAGTGATGACTAATTAGAGTAGACTAATAAATTGTCACATAAAAAGTGGCCAGCTTCATAATAATTATCCAAGCACACACAAAAAATTGTCAGATCCAATGGTTTAACACACGTCCTCTATATACAAAATATGTGAACACGTGAATCCGAAACTTTTAAATCGAAAACTATCGTGAAATAACAATCTAAAATTTCAATTTTTTTTTTCGGTTTAAAAGAATTAAAGGGTTTAAAAAATACTAGAGGGTGGTAGCGCAAAATTTTTTGCTTCAGAATATGAGTCAATGAGTTGAAATACATGTCAATCTCTGGGTCTGACAACAACCCCCGAAAACAAAAAATACAATGACACGATTTTTTAATTTTTTTATAGATGTAAAAAATTGGAGGATCGTGGCTCAATTCTGACTTCAGATTTGGATTCAGCGCATCGAAATGCATAGTCATAATCAAGTATTTTGGTCTGACAACTTTTTTGTGTGCTTGTGTTATTTTTTAATTTAGTTGCTTACCACAAGGTGACAATTTACACATTTTTATACAGGTTAACATTAAAATATGATACTTTTACGATAAGAAACATTTCTTGTCGATGTTGCGGCTGAATTCCAAAATTTTAAAATTATTATATTCTTAAACATTTTATTTGCTGTACAAGTATAATTTAAATCGTAGATTATTCGAATTTTTAATAACTGGAAAGCATATTATACAATTTGATTTTTCGAATTACCCTTGGATACGAATTAAAAAGAGTGCACTGTAACTTGAGATCTGATCCTTAAACCTTTTGAGGCCAAAAACCTCGCAAGTCGCACGGTGATGTCACGCGAAGCTAAAGTCCTGCGGCTCTTGTTCTGTTTCCTGCCGTCGCACGCGACTAGGACCAAATGGTGAGTGCCTCGTGCGACACAACGCGACTTGTGCATGCCACACGCGCATGCGACCGGCGCAGGCAACTGGCTTATGCGACCAGCACTGCGCTCGCCACCGTCGCAAGCGACTGCATCAGAAACCGTACGTAAACGCCACAGGTGGGAACTCTCAAGACCCCTTTGCAACGATGTTTCTCATCAAGTGCGGAGAATGTGGAGATGCAAGTGAGTGTGCTCCATTTATTCCTAAAAATGAACGAAATCAATCCAAATGTTGGAAGATCCAGATGAATAATCAAGAAAATGAACCGGTTTCTAGGTATTTTTGCAATATTAGAAACGTAGGTTTCGTAGAATAGTTGTAGTTGCTAGAAGTGGACCTTACTTAGGAACTGTTTTTAAAATTATCTATTTTACTCTCATACTTCTTTTTGTGGTAAGTGGTGAAAATGAAGAATTATGTCTTCATTTTTGATGAAGAGATGTGTTCATGTTGTAACTTTCCCTAAGTATTACCGCCTCCAGGAAACATTGTGTAACATCATGAGTTTTACCATCACATTCCTGAGAGGAATAACTTAATATTTGCAACTTATTACAAAATAATTTTGCTCTGAATTGCTCTTGAAACTGAGAATAGAAATGAAGTTAATATACCGAGCTATTTAAGCAAAATAATCGCAAATATTTTAATTGTTTATAAAACGTGAATGTCATATACATTGTGCATGTGAAAAACCAACCCATAGGTTATGTCATTGTACAGTAAAATTGTACGTGTGCCCTAATTTCACGTTAGGTTGTCGAAAAGAAACTCTTGTCGTAAATGTTGAAATTACAACGCGACATTTCAATATAGGCAAATCTTGGATGAGAAAATATTGAGATGTTGATGAATAAGAGAGATTTTGTTGATTTTAACTCTCGGTAGACAAGCCTTCTCTCTGAATAAAGTTTTGTTTAGTTTTAATTTAGTTTCAGGTTTTAATTTTATCATTTTGGCTTTCTTTCATCTGCAGAATGACAATATTCGAAATTTTAATTACATTGATTTCTAAGAAATTTTCTCATTTCCTTTCAAACCTATCTTACGCCAATTCTTAAATATTTGCTATCATTTTATTCCACTGTCATTGCGTTTTCTGCTAATGTTCATTCTCTGACTTGTCCAATTCGCTATTTCTGCCTTGCCTTTTGTCTACACAGTCTCTGTATCCGTAGTCATTCTACCTCGTCCGTATTTAGAATTCAGAAAATTTAACTTGAATATAAATTTCTTATCTATTATGTCTGTGAATGTAACAAAGTACTTCTGTACATTTGATGGACTTATTTGTACGTAGGATCTAAACCGTCGCTTAAATGTCCTACCAATCCTATGTAATTCCCTTCATTTAAGGCATACTAAAAAACAAACAGAATCAAATCGATATCAACGATGCTGCATCCAAATACTCTATAAATTTCATTTCATTAAAAAACATCAACATTTACTCAATTCCGCGCTCGATATCGGGGGAAATACCCTACTTTATAGACCAGCTCTGAACGAGCACCACGTATGGCTAAGGACGACTATTTTGACTGAATCTAATGATTCTTAAGGTAGAGTTCGTATACGTTTCTTAAAATTTGGGATCGTTTTATTGGCTTCATCTCAAAAAAGTTTGAGGGAACGCCGAAATGTCACGAATTATTCTCCACCTCGTTTTGTCACTATTGAGGTAACAAAATATAAAATTTCAAGTATTTGGACCGTCTGAATTCCTTTTTTGCTCGCTCTAGTCACGAAAGTAAAATTTGAAGAGAATGACAACATATGTTTCTTTATTTTACACATAAACAGAAAATTACTGTTTAGATACCAAGGAAACCCCCTTGGTATCTAATAATACCCCCTTGATCACTATTATAAAAAAATATAAAGTAAAAGATAATATCGCATTACCTGACACGTGTCTTTAGTGATTTGGAAATACCTTCAAGAAAAATAGGTATTCTGTAGTGTTTGTGTAAAAAAAAATACTTGGCAATTTGGAGTTGACATGATATTGCTTGAATCGCAGGATTTGTGAAAGTTTATGGCACAATCAATGACAAAGCTGTAGCCTAGCCGTGATAACCATAACAACTTGTTACCTCGCAGTTGATCTAGACCGTGGTGGAAAGATATGAGTTGACCACAACATAGGCACTTCGTTTGAAAAGCCAGACCAGACGCTAGTCGCCGAGTTGCAAGGAAAGCAAGAAATATTGAGAAACATTTTGAAAATAGCATAAAGTGACAATTTTTAACAGTGATCAACAAATAATATGATGGTGTAATTGAAATAAAAGATGTAATTTAAATTAAGTGGGAAAAAAGTCAAAAAACTTCTATATGTATCATTTTCGATGACTTGTCGCAAGGTGAAAATTTTTGTATCTGACTGCATTTAAAATTCCCCTAATTTTGTGAAGGAAACTTGTGCTTAAATCTCCTTTGTTGAAGTCAGATGCTTTGCGCAATACTAGCTTCCACTTCCCCATCTCCTTCCACCATGAGCTAGACGTAGTCACCAGTTCTACGCAAACGAACTGCTGGAGTTACAACCAGTACCGGATTATAAGTCTGCAGGGACTTTGGCACTTCCAAAACAATGGCTACACAGCATACTTTAAAATATCTTCCTTTCTTAGTGCAACGTATAATTAATTAGTGTAATAAAACAATATTTTTGAGATATGAATAAGAAGTTGTTGAATCTAGAAAAAAATATCCTAAAATAACAAATAGTATTTAAAATCACAAATTTTATGAAATATTACCAAAATATTCACATTTATCGACAATCATTTCATACCTTTTTTAAAAAATTTCGTAGTAGAGAAGAGAAGTGATTAATGAATAAACACAAGACTTCAGGCAAGACAGCAGCAACATACCTAATTCAGATCTTGAACAAATATACCCAAAAATATAATTTGCTATTCAAAATCAGTTAACATGGGCCTTGTAACTAGTGACACATTATTCCCTTTTTTTTCTTTTTTTCTTTTATTTTCTTTTTCTTCTGATTTTCTTCTTCTTCTTTTCTTTTTCTTTTTCTTTCTTTTCTCTTCTTTTTTCTTCTTTTCTTTTCTCTTGTCTCCTTTTCTCTTGTCTCTTTTTCTCTTCTTTTCTTTTCTCTTCTCTTCTTTCTTGTTCTTTTCTTTTTTTCTGTTTTCTTTCTTTCTTTCTTTTCTTTTCTTTCTTTCTTCGCGGCTCGAATTATCACGTATTCGCCGGTTATGGCATGAATAATTGCATCATCACCCATTAAGTCAATGACATAGAGAGAATCGTGGGGATATATTGGTAAACTGAACAGCTGACCACCATTTTTCGCGTAGATAGCACATACCCGTGTCGTCACAAATAACTTATTACCCAATATTAACATTGATTCTCTTTAAAAAAAGAAAGTATTAAGCTGTTATACAAAAATATCAACTCGGTAATAATGCTGCTTTATTACATATGTGCAAATTGAAAAACAAATTGAAAACTTCAAAACATGTACTCATGCATAATAAAGCTTAACATTATAAACTATTTTCATAAACTATTAACTAGCTTTCGTTATAACGATACTTTGGTTTCACCCTGCTGCGCGCACTTTTCGACCCATTTCCCGAATGCTGAGAGGTGATTCAGGGCATCAACCGATGTCACTGCAGTTCCTCCGAACGGGGGGTCCTACAGTTCGAGTCCCGACGGAAGCAGGCGTTTCGACACTAGCTTATCAGCTAGGGCGAATTCAGGGCTGCCTCAAGAAGAATTGTAGCGGCCGGCTGCTCTGGTCGGTAGTTTTCTCCGATCTGTGGTTTCTCCGATCAATATCAGGTGAATGCCGGAGCAGTACGCTAACAAACATGTCATGGAGCACGCGCGATCTTTTCTTCCTATTCCCTGCTTATCCTTACTCCATACTTACACACACATACACCCACATGCCCTACACAACTACACCTGTCGGGAGACCATTCGGGAGCTTAAGAGCTTCTTCCCGTGCCATGCTGGTGGGAGATATCTCGTTGGGGAAAATACCCGCTAACCGAGGTAGGTCGGGGGAAGATCGCCGCCCCTGCGCTTACATCTGCGCTTATGGGGTTAATGACCTTAGCAGTTCACGCGCCCGTAATCATTCATCAATTAATTAAACAAAACCGAATTCTGAGAGCAGCGGCTCGGCGGCGGCGGCCACCCCGTTTGCCAACGCGGCGCATGGCTTCTTCATGGGCGAGGTGGCGGGCAGCGGCGGCGGCGGTGGCCGGCCGAATGAGAGGGTGTGTGTCAAACGGAATAAGGCCACAAGCCGCCAACGCCC